GTTTTGATGTCAGTTGTATTATTCCAGGTTGGTGGATTGACAGCATTAATGATGGCTGCCATGAGAGGACACCTGGAGGTCTGTAGACTTCTCATTGATACAGGATGTAAGATCGACACCACAGATAGGGTATGTTATCTACTTAGTCTGATCACATTACTATTAATCAACACTAAATCATGTTGTTAATTAGACAGTTTTAATGAAACAAATATTTGTAATAATTATATCAAGTGGGGTCTCATTTTACTCATATTATTGTTCTGAATCAGAAAATATAACTTCTTTTATGTTTCTTTTGAAAAAATTATTTTATTAAAATGAATGATTATACTGAATCTACACTAAATCATGTTGTTAATTAGACAGTTTTAATGAACAAATATTTGTAAGAATCATATAAAGTGGGGTCTCATTTTACTTGTTTTGTTCTACTGAATCCATTGATATAATTATTTTACACATTTCTTGAAATTTTTTTTTTTTTTAAGATATCAGGTTTAATGGAAGTTTTGACATTTCACAACAAAACATGTTTATTTATTGTTTATGTACAATATAAATACAAGTGTGACTGGTCATTGTATTGAGTTTTGACCACTGATTCATGTGATATATATTTTGTTTATATTTATTACACAACATTGTCCAGTTTATCAGACAAGTTTTGATGTCAGTTGTATTATTCCAGGAGTATGGATTGACAGCATTAATGTTGGCTGCCGAGGAAGGACACCTGGAGGTCTGTCAACTTCTCATTGATACAGGATGTAAGATCAACACCACAGAAGTATGTTATCTACTTAGTCTGATCACATTACTATTAATCAACATAAAATCATGTTGTTAATCAGACAGTTTTAATGAACAAATATTTGTAATAATTATATCAAGTGGGGTCTCATTTTACTCATATTATTGTTCTGAATCAGAAAATATTTCTCCTTTTATGTTTCTTTAAAAAAAATATTTTATTAAAATGAATAATTATACTGAATCTACACTAAATCCTGTTGTTAATTAGACAGGTTTAATGAATAAATATTTGTAACAATCATATAAAGTGGGGTCTCATTTTACTTGTTTTGTTCTACTGAATCCATTGATATAATTATTTTACGCATTTCTTGAAATTTTTTTTTTTTTTTAAGATATCAGGTTTAATGGAAGTTTTGACATTTCACAACAAAACATGTTTATTTATTGCTTATATAGAATATAAATACAAGTGTGACTGGTCATTTTATTCAGTTTTGACCACTGATTCATGTGATATATATTTTGTTTATATTTATTACACAACATTGTCCACTTTATCAGACAAGTTTTAATGTCAGTTGTAGGATATGTTGTATATTATTGATATTGATAACAAAGTATTGTCCATAATATTTACATGTTATTTGGTTATATTATAGATGAGTGGATACACAGCTTTACATTGGGCTGCTATGTATGGATATCTACAGGTTACAAGATGTCTGGTAGAAGGAGGTGCCAGTCCCTTGGTTAAATCACATAAGGTAATATTTTATAGTATATGACCATTGTTCTACTATTAAGTAATGAATCACTAAAATGATGTATGAGATATATTTGGTCAAATTGATTCTTTTTCAAGGCAATAGTCAAAAGTCATCTGATCCTTTAAATTTAACTTAAGATATGAAAAAGTTTTATGGAGGGTGTGGATACAGACATAGGAGGGTGTGGATAGGGTATACAGATATAGGAGGGTGTATATGGGGTATACACATACAGGAGGGTGAGGATGGGGTATACACATATAGGATGGTGTGGATGGGGTATACACATATAGGAGGGTGTGGATGGGGTATAGAGGTTTAGGAGGGTGTGAAGGGGTAATACAGATATAGAAGGGGTAGATGGGGTATACACATATAGAAGGGTGTGGATGGGGTATAGACATATAGGAGGGTGTGGATGGGGTATACACATATAGGAGAGTGTGAATGGAATATACAGGAATAGGAAGGTGTGGATGGGGTATACACATATAGGAGGGTGTGGATGGGGTATAGAGGTTGAGAAGGGTGTGGAGGGGTAATACAGATATAGGAGGGGATGGATAGGGTATACACCTATAGGAAGGTGTGGATCGGGTATTCACATATAGGAGGGTGTGGACGGGGTATAGAGGTTGAGTAGGGTGTGGAGGGGTAATACAGATATAGGAGGGGATGGATAGGGTATACACCTATAGGAAGATGTGGATCGGGTATACACATATAGGAGGGTGTGGATGGGGTATAGAGGTTGAGAAGGGTGTGGAGGGGTAATACAGATACAGGAGGATGTGGATTGGATATACTGATATAGGAGGGTGTGGATGGGGAATACTGATATAGGAAAGAGTGGATGGGTAATACAGATATAGGAGTGTGTGGATGGGGTATACAGATAAAGAAGGGTGTGGATTGGGTAGGGTATAGATGGGGTATACAGATATAGGAGGATGGGGATTGGGTATACAGATATAGAGAAAAAAGTAGTATTACATCTTCCCGGCTTTAGGTTGGCCTTTTGTGTACCCAAGGCAGGTGAAGGAAGTCAACTTAGAAGCGCTGTGATTAGATGTAAGGGTACAATATATATTTTTATAAGTTTTACCCTTGTCCGTCTGTAAGTACGTACGTACGTACGTCCGTCCGTGCGTCCCAAAATTGGTTTCTGTTCTCTTAACTTGAGTTTGCCTTAACCAAATGTTATGAAACTCATAAACAATGCTAATTACCACAAAACTGAGATCAAGTTTGAATTTTGGTAGCGTCACTTTAACCGTTCTAGAGTTATGCCCCTTTATAAATGGAAATGGAAAATTTTTAGTTTCCGTTCTCTAACTTAAGTTTGCTTCAACCAAATTTTATGAAACTTATAACAATGCTTATTACCAATAAATACAGATCAAGTTTGAATTTTGGTAGCATCACTCTAACCGTTCTAGAGTTATGCCCCTTTATATAAATGGAAAAATTACAAAAATTTTAGTTTCCGTTCTCTTACTTGAGTTTGCTTCAACCAAATGTTATGAAACTTATACACAATGCTTATTACCACAAAACACAGATCAAGTTTGAATTTTGGTGTCGTCACTTTAACCGTCCTAGAGTTATGCCACTTTATAAATGGAAAAATTGCAAAATTTTTAGTTTCCATTCTCTAACTTAAGTTTGCCTCAACCAAATTTTATGAAACATATACACAATGCTTATTACCACAAAATAAAGATCAAGTTTGAATTTTGGTGGGGTCACTTTAACCATTCTCCAGTTATGCCCTTTATAAATGGAAAAAATGCAAAATTTTTAGTAAAGCACAGATCAAGTTTGAATGTTGGTGGCGTCACTTTTACTGTTCTAGAGTTATACCCCTTTATAAATGGAAAAATTGCAAAATTTTTATTTTTTTCTAAATATCAATTAATTTTTGAAATTGGAGTTATATTCCTTTGTCCATGATTATAGTTGAATCAACTACAATCAATGCTTTATACAAAGCAATGTTTAATTTTTACTTCCACTGATAAAACACAGATCAAGTTGAATTTGGGTAGTGTCACTTTAATCATTATTGAGTTATGCCCCTTTGTAAATCAAAAGATTGCAAAATTTTTAGTTTCCATTCTGTAACTTAAGTTTGCCCCAACCAAACATTATGAAACCTATACACAATATTCATTACCACAAAACTAAGATCAAGTACAAATTTTTTGTTTTCGTTTTCGAACTTTAGTTTGCCTCAACCAAATGTTATGAAACTTATACACAATGCTTATTACTACATAATACAGATTAAGTACAAAATTTGGTGAGAACACTTTTACCATTCTTGAGTTATGTCCCTTTATAAACATAAAAATTGCTGAATTTTTAGTTTCCGTTCTCTAACTTTATTTTATTTATCTATGAATAACTGCAGTGTGTATATTTTCAATATAAATTTTGAAACCCATTTAAATATTTTTTCACCCCGTTTTCACCCGGATTCTTTAGCCTTCAGACTGATTTCCTTTGAAATACCGGCAAATTCGTAATTCTTCCTTTACAAGAAGTTCAACTAGCTGTGTAAACTCAAATTAAGTGACCCATTTCAGTGCATGGCTTTATTTGACAGCTTTGGTGTCAAACACACTGTTAATTAACACCAATTACCTTAGCTTTAGGTCAAAAATAATTTGTGTATTTCAAAGTTGTTTCACAAAAAATTTAATTACTTCACCTTTTTGTCACCTTTCACAATATACTCCTTAAATTTGTGTTTATTTTTGTAAAAAAGGTTAAATCTAAAACAAATTGAATGCAAATACATATGAGAATATTACTTATTATTTTTCTACCTTAGAACAATTAGAAAATAAATAGTTGAAAATTATTAGGGCCTCGCCGAATGGCAGACGCCCTATAGTGATCAATCTGTCCATCCGTCTGTCTGTCCTTCCGTCTGTAACAAATTGTGTCTGCTCTATATCTAGAGAACTGGAATGATTTCAAAGTTTATACTTGACATGTATATAAACCAACACCAGAGGGTGTGTAATAATGTATGTACAACTTCCTAGGTCAAAGGTCAAGGTCAAAAACTTTGGTTTTAGTTGACAACCCCATGTCCTATGGTAAAGATCGTGTCCGCTCTATATCTTGAGAACTGTTATGATTTCAAAGTTTATACTTGACATGTATATAAACCAACACCATAGGGTGTGTCATAATTTATATACATCTTCCTAGGTCAAAGGTCAAGGTCATAAACTTTGGTTTCAGTTGACAACCCCATGTCCAATGATAAAGATACAAATTTTTTACCACATGTTATTCTCACCGGGCCCACAGAGATGGCTCCCATCTCAATGATATCTAGTTTTTTTCATCTCTACTTCCTTTAAATGTTTAACTTTTTTTTATTATACTCTAATATCAACTACCGTGTGAGGGCTGTATAGCCAGTCAAGGTCTTTAATAACCCCCATCTTCATCTCTAGAAATAATGTATAAAACTCTACAGATAGACATGATAGATGCATACTGAGCTCCTTGTGACTTGTGAATTGAATATAATCAAGGAAATTGTTAAAGTGTTAAACATTAATCTATCATAGCCAGAAGTGCATTGATAATAATAGTTCAAAATTATTTTCAGTTAATACTTTACCATTACTTTTCATGGTTTGGAAATTGCTTGTTTTAAAATATAAAAAAATGTCCCCTAAAATACTTAAATTCAGCTGGAAAAAAGTTCGTAAGCGTTATGACCTGAGATTTTATTAGGGTACAATATATATATATATTTTTTTTTATCTATGAATAACTGCAGTGTGTATATTTACAATATAAATTTTGAAACCCATTGAAATATATTCTAGAGAATTGTTCGAAAAGACTTCCAAAATTTCATAAATTTGGTGTAAAATGAAGGTGGGCATGGATAACATAAACAAGCTCCATTGGAAGTTGGTCATGATACATTTGACCTCAATTTTTAAAACAGAATAATAAAGTACTAACACCACATATAACTGTTTTGTCCAGGTTTTTATTATAAAAAGTGGTAAATTTAGAAAATGTTAGTATTGTCGCCTATGGCAGAATAAATACTACCGTTTTCCCTATAGGAGGGTGTGGATGGGGTATACAGATATAAGAGGGTGTGGATTGGGTATACAGATATAGGGGGGTTTGGATGGGTAATACAGATATAGGAGGATGTAGATGTGGTATACAGATATAGGAGGGTGTGGATGGGGTATACAGATATAGGAGGGTTTGGATGGGTAATACAGGTATAAGAGGGTGTTGATTGGGTATACAGATATAGGAGGGTTTGGATTGGTAAAACAGATATAGGAGGGTTCGGATGGGTAATACAAATATATAGGAGGGTTTAAATCGGGTATACAGATATAGGAGGGTTTGGATGGGGTATACAGATATAGGAAGGTTTAAATGGGGTATACAGATATAGGAGGGTGTGGATAGGTAATACAGATATAGGAGGGTTTGGATGGGGTATACAGATATAGGAGGGTTTGGATGGGTAGAATTAATGAATAGAAAAGGATTGGGTACAAAAATATAAAAAATAGAGAATAATATTGGGATGTTAAAAATATAAAGAACTGTGAATAATGTGCCCACAAAATTAGAAAAGATAGTTAAAAATGAAGACCCCCAAACTCATCCACACCTCATGTAGACATTAGGATGCATTTACCAATCTTCAGACTGCAAAGAAAATAACAGGACCAAATGGTGACAGATGGAACTTTTATTCTGATTCTTTAAAAAAAAAGAGTTAAAAGCCTATTTAAAGTCTTCACAAAATTGTGAAAAATAATCGAAATGTCGTCTCATGAGTTATATATATATGGTTAGCATCTGTTAAGATAAAAAAAATCACCACTCAGCTGCTACTGGTCTTACTAATTGTAAGATATTATGTGTTACAGAAGCCTTCTTTGTAACAGGTGAAAGCAATATAAAGATTTGTCTGTATTTCAGGGTCAGACGCCATACGATCTAGCAGCAGAATATAAATCTCTCCAGTATAAAGAAGTGATGGAATACTTACAGGTACATATAGTGATAGATATGGTGTTGAATTACAAACGCTTACACTTAGAATGAATCAAGTAGAAAATAAGTTACAAAATATAAAGAAATATAAAACTAAGAAATCAAATGCCGCAAAACCAAAATACTTCAGGAGAGAAATCTTACAAAATTGGTTTTAAACAAACAATTTAAAATTCTAATGCAATTATTTGTTATCACCATTTTGATTCGACAACATCATATAATTGGGGCGCTAAATCCACACTTAACAAGCTTTTAACTAAGCTTAGTTGTCATGTTTCAATTCAGGAATTTATTATTATGTGATTTCTTCAATATTCAACAAAATTAGCAGATGTTTTTTATTTCATATTCTAGAGCAAACAAGACGAGAGCAAGTTTTCTTAATTTTTAATAATAAATTGTTTTTTGGTTTTTGATTTGGAGATGTACGGCGGTGGGCGGGGGGGGGGGGGTGGCTGCCAAACAGTGTCCGTTCATTAACATGAAAACGCTTTGACGAAATCTTTTCAAATTAAGATATGTTGTTTCCTGTGACTAAATGAAGGTCAAGTTTAATTTTCACCATTTTAGCTTTTTTCGTTGTTGAGTTGTAGACCTTTCAGAAACAAAAGTGATTTTTATACGACCGCAAAAAATTTTTGTGGTCGTATATTGGTATGATGTTGGCGTTGGCGTCGTCGTCCGAAGACACATTAGTTTTCGCACTCTAACTTTAGTTTAAGTGAATGGATCTCAATGAAATTTTACCATAAGGTTCAATACCACAAAAGGAAGGTGGGGATTGATTTTGGGGGCAATGGTACCAACAGTTAAGGAATTCGGGGCCAAAAGGGGCCAAAAATAAGCATTTTTGTAACTTCCAGACATAATTGTGTGTTAGTGTATGGATCTCTCTGACATTGTACCACAAGGTTCCATATCACAAAGGGAATGCTGGGATTGATTTTGGGGGTAATTGCCTCAAAATTTTAGGAATTAGGGGCCAAAAAAGGGGCAAAAAACAAGCATTTTTATATGGACAAATACTTTAGTACAAAACATAATTTAAAGCAGTGTAAGGGAGATAAATCAAATTCATCATTAGAATTACCTCCCTTACACTGCTTTTAAATTATGTATAAAGTAATGGTTAATGAACAATTAAGACAATTTAAAACAGTGTAAGGGAGGTAATCCACGTACAACGTTTTGATTACTTCCCTTACACTGCTTTTAAATTATGTTTAAAGAAATGCATATTTATAAAGGAAGACCAGTAAAAATATCTGCAAATGTTGCATCTTTTTTTTTTACAAAAAAATCCAAATGAAAGATTTGACACCATATTTTAAATTCTATTATAAAATAGAATAAGATAGCACTGTGGTAAATTTGAATGGATAATTATGGTTGCAAATTCCATTGGAAATTTGAATTGAGATTATGACCATATCTTGAGGGAAAGAATTTTTTGGGGGAAGAGGGGGGGGGGGGGGGGGGAGGGGGGAGGGGTAAAAAGAAATTGTGGGGGGTCAAATTTTTCTCATTTCAGATTTCAGAAATTAAAAAGAATTATTCTTCAAATATTATTTTTTTTTCAAATTTCAAATATTGAAAAATTTCAAGAAGTAATCTTTAATTGCACAGTATGGCGCATTAGATTTGTAAAATCTTTGACCACATTTATTTATTTGTTATGCCATATCTGACTGTGTATTTAGATTTTTAATTGTGGGGTCCAGTTTTCAAATTGGTCTACATTAAGGTCCAAAGGGTCCAAAATTAAACTTAGTTTGATTTTAACAAAAATTGAATTCTTGGGGTTCTTTGATATGCTGAATCTAAACATGTATTTAGATTTTTGATTTCGGGCCCAGTTTTCAAGTTGGTCCAAATTGGGGTCCAAAATTAAATTTTGTTTGATTTCAACATTAATTGAATATATGGGGTCCTTTGATATGCTGAATCTAACCATGTATTTAGATTTTTCATTTTGGGTCCCGTTTTCAAATTGGTCTACATTAAGGTCCAAAGGGTCCAAAATTAAACTTAGTTTGATTTTAACAATAATTGAATATATGGGGTTCTTTGATATGCTGATTCTAAACATGTATTTAGATTTTTGATTTCGGGCCCATTTTTCAAGTTGATCCAAATTGGGGTCCAAAATTAAACTTTTGTTTGATTTCGACAAAAATTGAATATATGGGGTTCTTGGATATGCTGAATCTAACCATGTATTTAGATTTTTTATTTGTGGGCCCGTCTATCAAATTGGTTCATATTGAGGTCAAAAGGGTCCAAAATTAAACTTTGTTTGATTTCATCAAGATTGAATTATTGGGGTTCTTTGATATGCCAAATCTAACCGCGTATTTAGATTTTTAATTTAGGGTCCAGTTTTCAAATTGGTCTACATTAAGGTTCAAAGGGTCCAAAATTAAACTCAGTTTAATTTTAACAAAAATTGAATTCTTGGGGTTTTTTGATATGCTGAATCTAAACATGTATTTAGATTTTTGATTTCGGTCCCAGTTTTCAAGTTTGTCCAAATTGGGGTCCAAAATTAAACTTTGTTTGATTTCAACAAAAATTGAATATATGGGGTTCTTTGATATGCTGAATCTAACCATGTATTTTGATTTTTTTATTTGTGGGCCCTGCTATCAAATTGGTTCATATTGAGGTCAAAAGGGTCCAAAATTAAACTTTGTTTTATTTCATCAAAAATTGAATTATTGGGGTTCTTTGATATGCCAAATCTAACCGTGTATTTAGATTTTTAATTTTGGGTCCAGTTTTTTGAATTGGTCTACAGTAAGGTCCAAAGGGTCCAAAATTAAACTTAGTTTGATTTTAACAAAAATTGAATTCTTGGGGTTCTTTGATATGCTGAATCTAAACATGTGTTTAGATTTTTGTCTATGGGCCCAGTTTTCAAGTTGGTCCAAATTGGGGTCCAAAATTAAACTTTGTTTGATTTCAACAAAAATTGAATATATGGGGTTCTTTGATATGCTGAATCTAACCATGTATTTTGATTTTTTTATTTGTGGGCCCTGCTATCAAATTGGTTCACATTGAGGTCAAAAGGGTCCAAAATTAAACTTTGTTTTATTTCATCAAAAATTGAATTATTGGGGTTCTTTGATATGTCAAATCTAACTGTGTATATAGATTTTTAATTTTGGGTCCAGTTTTTTAAATTGGTCTACATTAAGGTCCAAAGGGTCCAAAATTTAACTTAGTTTGATTTTAACAAAAATTGAATTCTTGGGGTTCTTTGATATGCTGAATCTAAACATGTGTTTAGATTTTTGTCTATGGGCCCAGTTTTCAAGTTGGTCCAAATTGGGGTCCAAAATTAAACTTTGTTTGATTTCAACAAAAATTGAATATATGGGGTTCTTTGATATGCTGAATCTAACCATGTATTTTGATTTTTGGGCCCCGTTATCAAATTGGTCCACATTGAGGTCAAAAGGGTCCAAAATTAAACTTTGTTTGATTTCATCAAAAATGGAATTCTTTGGATTCTTTGATATGCTGAATCTTACCATGTATTTAGATTTTGGATATTGGACCATAATAGGTAAATTAAAAAAATTAAAGTTCTTAGACCACATTCATTCTGTGTCAGAAACCTATGCTGTGTCAAATATTTAATCACAATCCAAATTCAGAGCTGTATCAAGCTTGAATGTTGTGTCCATACTTGCCCCAACTGTTCAGGGTTCGACCTCTGCGGTCGTATCAAGCTGCGCCCAGCGGAGCATTTTATTACTATATGAATTTGAGTTATTTCCCTTTGAACAGAAATGGTATAATTAATAATTAATTTCTATGTCATTTGGTCTCTTGTTTATTTTGAGTTATTTCCCTTTGAACAGGAATGATTTAATTAATAATTATCTCATCAAAAATTGAATTCTTGGGGTTCTTTAATATGCTGATCCTAACAATGTACTTAGATTTGGGATATTGGACCATAATAGGTAAATTTCCAATTTCAAATTTTTCATTTCTTTGACCACATTCATTTTGTGTCATAAACCTATGCTGTGTCAAATACTCATTTTTTTATTTTGTATAGAATGCATAGAAATGGAAATAACTGTATTGTATAACTATTTTTAGCTTGGCCTACAATTAACTTTGTCCTATTTTAGCAAATATTCTTTTACGTAGCTAACTACTATATCACTAGCCTTTTTACACTCAGGTTATGAGTTTGAGTCCCTCACATGGCAGGTCCTTTGACTTCTTAAATTCATGAAGTAATCAGTTTTCCACACTATTTGTTGTTATGCTTACAGATGTTGATTTGATATTTGGTATACAGTTTTAGGTTTACCATGACAAATTATAGAACAATTTCTGATTTTGTTCCGGTCTGAAGTTTTGTGCAGAGTTATGGTCCTTTGACTTAGACAATTCAGGAAAGTAATCAGTTTTCAGCATTTTTTATACGACCGCAAAGAATTTTTGGTTTCATATAATGCTACGATGTCGGCGGTGTAGTCGTCGTCGGCATCATCGTCCTTAGACACATTTGGTTCCCGGACAATAACTTTAGTTTAAGTGAATGTCTCTCTATGATTTTTACCAGAAGGTTCAATACCACAAAAGGATGGTTGGGAATGCTTTTGGAGGTTATGGTACCAACAGTTTGAGAATTAGGGCCCCAAAAGGGGCCAAAAACAAGCATTTTTATAGTTTCCGGACAATAACTTGTGTTTTAGTGTATGGATCTCTCTAAAATTGTACTACAAGGTTCCATACCACAAAGGGAAGGCTGGGAATGAGTTAGTTTGGGGGTAATTACTCCTGGGGGGGGGGGGTTCAAAAAGTTTGGGGGGATTTTTTTTTCAATTTTTTTTGGGGGTTCATATTTTTTCTTCAAAATTTTTGAAATTTCAAATTTTTTGAAAAGTTTCAAGAAGAAATCTTCAATTGCACAATATTGCAAAATAGCACAGTATTGCGCAACAGCACAGTATTGCGCAATAGCACAG